TTTATTTCCTGCTGATGTCTTCTCATACCTTCTCTGAACTCTTGTAAAATCTTCTAATAGTTTTGATTGTGCAATCAGTTATTTTATTAAGTTTTGTTAATTTATGACAATATGTTTGGGCAAAATTTTTTTTTTTTCCTTTTTTTGTCTTTTTTACTGACTGGTAACGGGATCGCAACCCTCGGTGTCGTGCCCGTACCGGGGACCGGCAATGGGATTGCAACCCTCGGTGTTGCGCCCACACCGCGCTCAGCCAGTGAGTGGGAACCGGTCTCCACATGGGGTCCAAACCCTCGGCGGGAGTGCCACCGCGCTCCCAAGTGGCGCACTCTCCAGCGTGCCACCGGGCCGGCCCTGTTTGGGCAAAATTTTAATCGGTTGCATATAACATTTTTTGGTGGGTGTTTATCTGTTATTCGTTTTCATTTTTTTTCTTCCTTTCTTCTTGCAGCATCTTTGTAAAGGTTCTTTTTTTGTGATTAGTCCAGTCCTTTGTGATCTAGCTATTTGCAGGAGCCTCATGTGGGCAGCAGACAGAGCCACGTCCCATGCTAATAGGAATTCTTGTGACCTGAGGTTATGTGTGTGTGCATGTGTGTGTCTGTGTGTCTATAATCCTTTCAACCTTCGCCTTTCTCTTGCTTGCTGAGACGGTGGTAGTGGACACTGGGGTGTTCCTAGCGCAGTCTCTGTCATCTTCACCTTGCTTCAGCAATAGACTGCTCCTTACAAATATGGCTTGCCTGTGTGGTTCCTCATTTCATAGCACACTGTGCCCAGGGAAAGTGTTAATGCTAATCTGCACATCTCTTACTGTTCCAAGAAAGCTATTGCTGGTTTGTTGCTAAGGGTGATCTACTTAAAGGGAGCGTGGCTCTGCCATTTTTGTCTGAGACCTGCAGCCATAAACAGCTTTTCCGAGCATCTCCTTCTCTCCTGTCTGACCTTCTCTGCGTGGACAACTCTCTTTTCATGTTTTGTGGTTCGGTGTTAACAGATGTCTTCTAGTTTCCTCACGGCTGGAGTTTGCAATTGGTTGTGTGCTCCTTATTGCCTTTAAGTGAGAGGAAGTCTTTAAGTCTGAAATCAGATTAGTATGACAAGACAACTCTCGTTTTTTATCTCTTCTTTGCCAGTTAAAAATCTCGTTTGTTCTTTTCCTTCAAGTAACTTTTCAAATAGAGCTAAAGAATAAAGCAGCTTTGCAAACAGCTTTTTATTTTGGGGTCTGGAATGATCACGTTAGTAATAATGTATCACAAGGAAAGAAATATTAGTCTCCTTTATTTTGACTATTCCTCAAGGAATTCAGAGGTCATAAAAAGTTAGTAGAGGTAAAATCAGAATAGATCATGGATTTCTATTTATACAGAAGAGATCTTTAGGTGTGTTAGACTTGTTTACCTCGAAGAAGACATATTACTGGGCTTACCAGTTTTGATACTTGTGGTTGCTCATTTATGACTTCCCAGCATTCCTGAGATGTTCCCTTGGCATTCTTAGGATGCTTAACTCAAAACTCCTGGCTGGATTTATGTCTAAATTAAAAAGAACTTTCTGTGTACAGCAACAGTCTGCATGCAAATATGATAACAGAAAGAAAGTGCTACATACTTTGTGAAAACATCAATATTGAGAAGTAGAAATAATACAGGCATGAAGTCATTCAAAGACTAAAGAAAAAGGAAGTTAAGGTATGAAATATCTGTTACTCACTGACTGAATTTGACTTTTAAATGCCAAGGTGCAAAAATTAGAATATATATGCATCTGGGATCCTGCACAATAGGAAAAGAAAATGTTCAGTCCAGGGAATGAGGAGCCTTGCTCTTCGCTTGAGTAGGACAAAGAGAAAATGTATTTGTAGGGAGGGGCCCTAGAACCTTTGAGGTAGGATGACCTTGGAGAATAGACCCCTTCCTTCCTGCCATCAGCTCCCTGGATGGGCATCAGGACCAAGCCAGAACCAGGCCTCCTTGAGTCAAGGCAGTAGGAGGCAGAGCTGCAGAGCCCAGCACACATGGCAGAACACAGGGCCTGCCCGTTCCTAGCAGGTGCTGGGAAGCTGGGGTGGGGAGTGGCAGGGAAGGATCAACACCAGCGTGGAAGAGGCGGCTGCAGGTGGGGAAGGCAGACTTGACTGAGGGCATAGCTTTCTGTGCAGGTCACATTTATTTTCAACCACAAGGCAACGAACAGAAAACATATACGGAAGTAATTTTGCCTGGTTTTGAAGATTATTTTGAACACAACTGACTCCATAATGAATATGTGACCACCCATATTAAATTCATTGGACAAATATCGGTGATCTGTTTTCCACTTTGGTGTAAGGCACAGCGCTAGGCACTGTAGGTTAACTCGGTCTGGTCTGGCCTCTGAAGGCTAAAGGGTGAGCTTAAGCAAAGCATCAATCACACAGCCAAACACATTCGATTTAGGTTCTTAGAAAAAGTGTATTTGGGGCTTTATTGGAAAAGCACTTATGTAACAGACTGTGAAGTCATAGCCGGGCATTCGGAAAGGAAGGAGTTTGCAGAAGGGCTGGCCCTTCACCAGCACTGCCTCCTTGTAGAGCCCCGATCTTAGAGGATGACCTGAGGGACGAGCAGTCACCTTCGCCAGGCTCTGGTGGTAAGTTGGTGAGGACGGTGAGTGTGGGAGAACCAAGCAGTGAAGGGTGCTTCCTACATGGGGATCGGGCCCCTTCTCCGTCTGGTTGAAGGACACGTCTCTGTCGGCCTCGGGGATTTGAGTTATCACCAACCGGGTCGCTGATGTGGCACTCGGCGTCTGACCCGCTGGTGTCCTGTCTGCGGTGCGACCGTGAGAGGAATCGCAGGAGGAAAGCAGGTGTGTCCGTAAGGAGTGTCTTGGGAACTTCTGGGGACCCGATGCTTCAGAGGATGAGAATAAGTTGGGCCAGAAAACCCAACAAAGCGATGCGATTTACACACACCGGCAGTTGCTCCTGAGAAGGGCTGAGGGTGGCTGTCCTCAAACGTGGGAGACGCAGGGCTCCCCTCTGTGCCTCAGCCTTGGGGACGCCGCCACCCTCCTGCTTTCTCTGTGGTCCCCGCCGGTCCCTCCGCTCCTCTCCGTCTTCTCATCCTCCGTGGGGCGCGGCCGTGCTGTTCCACTCTCGGTTCCACGTTCTCCCTGTGCCTTCACTGTCACGGCTGTCACTCGTACCGTAAGGCGGACTCTGAACCTCCCTACAGCCCCCGGGATATGCTTGTATGACCCTGAACAGTGTCCCAAATCAAACTCACCCCGTCGCCTCCCCCCTCCCGCTTCTGCCCTTTCTGGTCACTGCTGTGCTTCTGTCTTAGGTTAGTTTTTCCATGAAAGTAGGTTTTACAGCAGCAGTTTTTTATTTCCATCGCCTGCATCCAAGTTATCACCAAGTCACCAAGCTTGAGTTGTTGTCGCTTTGTAACCTGATGTCCCTGCCCTCTCATCTCTTTTTTTCCCATACTGTGTATCATCTGCAGATTCGTTGTACTGAAATTCTACTTCTGTCGCATCATTCGTTACTCTTATCCCAGTGGCTCCGGCTGCCCGCAGGATGAAGACCACATTTCTCAGCTTTGCATTTGAGGTGCTCTGTAGTCTGATTCCAGCCTGTTTCCAGAGTGTATCTTTCACCCTGCAGCACTAATTCCCACTCTTCTTCCCAGATGACATCTTATTTCTGTCCCATAAATTTGATGCCGTCCCACTTCCCTGGAATGCCTTTTCCTTGTGTGTCTCCTGTCTCTTTCCAAGTATTGGGACATTTGAGACCAGATGGAGTTCGATTCCCACCTTCCCCATGATGCAAGCCTTCCTGTCTCTGACCCACTTCATCGCACATTGAAATCTCATTCCTTTGTGTCCTTATAACGCTTAATGTGCAGCCGTGGTATAAATGCAGTGGCTGAGTGGTCCAGTCCTTCAGCAGCCAGTTTTGAACTCCACTCTATCCCAAATATTGTGCCTGTGTAGGTGCTGACATGCAAAGAATATTCCAGACTGCTTCAGGGTGATCACAGAGCCATAGAGAAGTAAACAGGCAAATGCACGTGGGCTCGGTCACCAAGGTGTGGCTGAGACAGTTGTGAGCACAGAGGGCACAGCAGCACTGAGTTTTAAAACAGTGGGAGAGGTTTCCAGGTGTAGAAAGCAGGCAAGCATTCAGCCAGAGAGAGCCGCGCATGTGGGGACCTGGAGCAAGACAGTTACCGGGAGGAGAGCTGGGGGCCTGCATCTGAGGGAAGAGTGGACTATTTGGGGAGGGAAGATGAAGGTTTTGTTTTCAGGAAAGTAACTTTGTCGATACTGTGATGCATAGTCTGGCTTCTTGGAAAAGGAAACAGTTGGGGAGGGTGGTAGGAAAGAAATGAATTAGGAGGTTATTGTAATAGAAACAAGCAGTAGAAAGCAAGAGAAATGACCCTACCTTATGTGCGCACGTCAGTGTGAGTGTGCGTTTGTCTCCTCAACCAGATTATAAGCTCAAGAGCACCAGTGTGGGTTTTATTTATCTTCATAATATCCACATTACTTAGTGAGTTACTGTGTCCATAAGAGGTGATTCATGGATGCTAATGGTATGGCTTGGCACCGTGTGTCCCCTTCCCACCAGACTCTGACGTGTGAAAAGTGGTGCCTGGCTCATGATTCAGTGTAGACGCTGAATAATAATATGTGGAACACAACCGAATCTGTAGTATGAATAACAAAGAGCTGGCTGTGAAACTAGAATAAAATATGCAACAATATGCAGATGTCTACAAAAGAGTAAAATATGAGAAATAGTGGCATGTCTGAGTGCTTAAAGGTGACCTTGTAAGTGAATGAGCTGTGAGGTGGGATTCCTGGGCAGGGGTGCAGGGCTTGTTCGCCTGGAGTTTTGGGGGGCATTCCCATAACAAGGGGAGCAGATGACAAACCTTACTTAGGTGGTTTAAATGAGTCCCCTCTTCTGATGCATTGTTCTCTCTCACTGATTCCTGCAGATATTGTATAAGCTGCTTTCATCATGGGAGAAATAGAGCAGAGGCCCACCCCAGGATCGCGACTGGGGGCTACAGAGAATTCAGGGATCAGTACCTTGGAACATGGGCAGAAGCCGCCCCCAACGCCTTCAGGAAAACTCATGTCCATCAAAATCCAGATGCTGGATGACACCCAGGAGGCATTTGAAGTTCCAGTAAGTTGGGGGTGAATCTGTGAACCCGAGTGTGTGATCCCTTCCACATGGGGGAGGTTTGTCTCATTCCTGTGTTGCAGTGACATGAGGTGGCCCGAGAGGGTCTGTGTGTTGGCACCTCCCTCCGCACCCCCAATGCACTCTGCTGACCCATTATGGTTCTGAGCTATCTGATTTTTAGATTTCTGCCCACCTAGTGATGTCAGTGGCGACGTCACTTTGAATTTTACTGTGACTCTCCTTACACAAATATATATGTAATATGTATGCATATGTGTTACATGTGGAATATATTATATAAAAATTAATATATGATATGTATTACATAAATATATATCCTATATAGATATATGGTATATATAATGTATGAGTATATGATATATATTTATATTTCAGTTGGAGGGAAGAGTGGTCTTATAGATGGATCCCAATTTAATTTGCTTGTCACAGGCAGTTCCTTTCTCACATTGGGACATGTGTGCGTGTGTGTGAGTGAGTGAGAGGAAATAATGAGAGAGCCTCAGGTCTGTTTTCATGTCAGGCCATCAGGAGAGGAGTTGACCATGTTCACGGCCTCGGAGGGTGGGGTGGGGGGCGTGTAGAAAAGCCCTGAGCCAGGCCCACAGTATGCAGCCCTAGAAATGAAGAGACCCACCATCCCAAGGGCTAGGGAGTGAACAAGGCGGTGGCCGGGAGCCAGGCAGAGAAGGAGCCAGCAGCCTGAGCCCCTTGTACCGGTCAGAGCCCCTCACCCTCAAGCTTCTGGTGTTTTCCCCAGAGCCCCTGCCTCATCCTCTCCCTGCCTTTGCCCAGTGATGTGCCCCTGCAGCCTGTCTTGTTTGCAGGGCAAGAGCGCCACGTGAGTGTGTCTGGCTGGCTGAGCTCGAATGCGCTGTCCTCGGGAATCACAGTCCGTGGAACTGTGAGCACACCTGATCTAGATTTTTGTGTTCTCTCTTGGGCACCAAACACCACATCTAACATTGTTTGTGGGGAAAGAAAATAACTTGAATTCCAAACAGCCAACGTTTAAACAAACTTTGGGAACACACCTGTTTTAAAAGTGAAGACAATCTGTCTATTTTTCCTGTTGGCTAGAGTGACTGAAATTTAATAGTTGGCATTAATGTTTGTAACCCATCATTTAATCATTTATGTGGCATGATTCAGTAGGTTATATTTATTTCCAAGCACTTTGTTCAGATGGTGTAAATTAACATTAAGTATCTCAGAGAAAGATGAACCTCAGAACAGCTATGTTTAAAACTGCCAGTTTATCGCACATCTCAAACGACCTTTGTGTCTTTCTAATTTTCATGTTGTGGAATTCTTACCTTTCAAGGACTTGGGAGTGTCTTCATGTTGTGGTGAACAAAGCCAGTGCTAACTTCTGGCATTGTGAAATTCATTGAGGAAAGCACCTGCCATCTTCTTAGAATTGGGCCTTCTGGAACAAATCCCCCCCAGCCCCCTAATTTTGTCTCTTCATTGCCAGGCTGGTTCAGTGAGGTATTAGGTTCAATGTCTCCTACTTGGTCCTGTTAAGAACTTCTGAGCCTGAGTCTCTAGCAACACGTTCTATTAAATGGTGTTCCGGCATGTGGTTTGGGCTGAGGAACTAAAAAGTGCTGCTGTTGTGTGTGCTCGCTACAGAGGTCACGGTGCTGTGTCCACTGCGGTTCTTCAGTTTCCTGAAACCAAAGAATGTCAAGACTCCATTCCTAGCCGCTACTTAGCTAGAAATCCATTCCTAGTTACTGTTTAGCTGAGAACTATACCGGAACTCCCCACCTAAGTAGTAGTAATAGAAATGTGTTTTCACCTTTTAAATTTATTTTCCTTCATAGTTTCATTTGTAAGCCCCCTCTGTCTGGAAGGAGCCTTTCTCACTGCCCCTCCGTGCGCCCCCCCCCCCCCCCCCCCCCCCC